CAGTGTACCCAGGAGAAGGGCTGGTGGGGCATGTGATGCCAGGGATCAAACCCCGGTCCCTGTGTTTGCCTAAGAAGGCGCTTAGTCTACTGAGCTATCTTGCTGGCCCTAAATGTGTTTCTTATATGCAGCATATTGTTGGATCATCTTTCTTAATCCATTCCACCAATCTGTTTCTGTTGATTTGAGTCTGTTACCATTGATGGTTATATGTATTGACTTATCTTTGTCATGTTATTTGCCTCTTGTGGCTCTCATTTTTCCCCCTCTTGTTTAATTGCTTGCCTTGCCTGATCATTCATTCAGTTGGGGTTCCTGGAGCTGTAATCCTTGTTACCTCATCTAGAATATCCTTGGGAACATTTTGCTGTATAGCTTTGGTATTCATGAACTTCCTCAGTGTTCTTTGTCATGGAAGTATCTTATTTCCCCATCAATTTTGAAAGATAGTTTTGCAGGATATATCAGTCTGGACTGGAGGTTGTTTTTTTTTAGGGCTTGAAATACTTCTCTGCAAGTGCTCCTCAATTTGAGGGTTTGTGTTGAGAAATCTGCTATGATTGTGATAGGCTTTTCTTCAGAGGTGATTTGTTTCTGTTCTCCAACAGCTTTTAATATTCTATTCTTATGTTGAATTTCTAGAATCTTGACTATTAATGCCTTGGTGTAGTTTTTTTTTGAATTATGGAGCAAGACTCTTAGAAAAACTACCAAAGCCAAATGTTTCTGTATATTTTGAAAAAAAAAAAAGTCTTTTAAAAATTAATCAAAAATGGCAGAAATAACTTTAGGCAAACATAGTTTGTGCGCATATTCTTTGGATGATATTTCCCATGTTTCTCTCCCCCCCCCACTCACTCTCCCTCCCTCCTCCCTCTCCCTCTCCCTCTTCTCCCTTCCTTCCTTCCTTCCTTCCTTCCTTCCTTCCTTCCTTCCTTCCTTCCATGCAGAAGGCAGCCTAGGAAATCATAGAGCTGATAGGACAAGCATTCTTCTGTTTTCCTCCCAGATGTGTTCCACTGCGCAGAACACAGTCTGGCATATAATAGTGTCCAGTAAGTACTTGTATGACTAAATGCAGCCTCTGTTTGATTGCACACAGAGTCTGCTTGCTAGGGCTCTGGTACAAGAAAACACTGGGTCCCTTGGCTTGTTTTCATCATGTGGAGACAGTGTCATTCTCGAGGAAAGCAGCCCCTTGTGTCTCCAGTTGTCCCTTTAGATGGTGGGCTTCTTGAGTAGGGACAGTGTCCGCAGGGACTGCATTGATGCAGTGTGCCACTGGGGTTTTTGTTCAACCACTGTTGGCTGAAGGGAGAGCTCAGCACCTGGATATCACTGCCAGGTCACGGTTTCACACCTTTGCCTGCTGTGGTTACAGAGGTCAGTTGAGGTTGACTCTGCACTCAAGAGTCTTTGCTCATTTTCCACTCAGCGAATCCTTTATTTGCCTAATGAGCATCATTTAGTTAATCCTTTTACAAAGGTTGATAGTTTGTGAAACCTGTATAACTGTGCTGTTATGTTTGTATTTATTAGTGGCCTAAAAGAAAATTACCTGTTTTCCTTTGTTTTATTTTTTTCCCATTAATCTCATGAGGGAATAGCTGTCACCCTTGGCATATGGGGCACCCCAGATTCTGACCCAGAGCCATCACCTGGGTCTCTAGCCTTTCTTCTCAACAGAATGTGAACCAGAATGTTCTCTGGGTACCTGACCTCTGTGTCCCTCCCATTACATAACTAAGGTGTTCGATTCCTACACCTGCGTGCTATGGTTCCAGCCTGCGCTGCCCTTCTCAGACAGCCCTTTTGTTCCTTTTGCTTTATCTGTGTTATCTCTTGCCTCCTTATCTGTGGAGGTTCATAGTTCCTCTGGTTAGTTCCCCTGCCCTGTTGACATGAAAACTCCAGTGTTTGGTTTGCTGTGTTTTGTTTTTGTGTTTTGCATTTTGTAGTACTGGGGACTGAACACAGCTCCTCATCCATGCTTGGCTGGTGCTCTCCCACTGAGCCAATATTCCTAGCCATGGGCTATTTTTAAAGTCTATGTTTAAAAAAAAAAACAAAAACCCCCCCCAAGATTTAAGAAAGCGATCTTACTCAAAATTCTCAGTACAAGAATGGTTCATGAAATAATGAAAATTAAAGTTAAAAGTAATATATAAATGTAAGGTGCCTTGATAATAAGGGATGCTTTTGGTAGTAACTAGGTAAAATTGTAATGCACTTAGTCTTATTCTATCTTGTCATGAGATAGAGCGGTATGATTAGCAGATGCTTGAGGGAAAATAAACTTTCAAGCTCTGTATGCTTTAATCCTTTATGAATGTCTGCAGTGTATTACAGTAGCACTTCACGTGACACCCGGAGGTCCTGCGGTGCTCCAGAGGCTTGGACAAGTGAACGTGTCCTCCTGCTGCTGCTCCTGACATATGGTCACCACCTCTGAGCTTCACTTCGGTGTCTTACCACTTAGTGGACTTACAGAAATAGCCGTCATAATCAGTGCAGTCTCCTATGCCTTCTTGGCTCTCTGTTTCTCTGTTTCTCTGTTTCTGTTTCTCTCTCTCTCTCTCTCTCTCTCTCTCTCT